CGTCGAGAGTAAAACTCCAGAGGTTGCCAAAACCCAGAAACCTGTTGTTGCAAGACCGCTCCAAGTGCAAAGTCTGAAGCATCAACCGCTATACTAAGCGTGGCTGACGGTACAGGATGCAAAAGCAGCGCGGTCTGCGCTAAATATGTTTTTACCTCTTGGAATGCTACTCGTGCGGCATCCGTAAGCATAAGTTTACGTGGATTACCACGAAGTAGGTCGGTAAGCGGTTGCAATCGTTCAGCGGCGTGTGGGATGAATCGTCTACATAAGTTCAATAAACCCAAAAACGCCTTCAGGTCTTTGACTGAGGATGGTAAAGTGTACTCTCTGATAGCACGCACTTTATCCTCGCAAGGCAAAATACCTTCATGTGTGATCTTGTGGCCAAGGAAAATCAGTTCCTTTTTGTCAAGCTCACATTTATCGGGGTTAACCTCAATGCTATTATCAGGTAAACGTTGAAATAGCAAGGTCAAATGGTGATAATGTTCATCTACATTGGAAGAGGCAATAAGCAAATCGTCAATGTAAACGTGAACAAAATCTAAATCTGGAGTTATACTGTCGATAAACCTCTGGAAAGTTTGAGCAGCGTTTCGCAAACTAAAAGGTATACGTAGGAACTCAAACAGACAGAAAGGAGTCATGATAGCAGTCTTTTCAACATCTTCAGTGGCGACTGGGATCTGATGATAAACTCGTACCAGATTGATCTTAGAAAAAATAGTCGTGCCACGAAGTGGAGCCGTAAAGTCGTGTATATCCGGGATGGAATAACTACCTAAACGAGTCACCGCGTTAAGTGCTCGATAGTCGCCACATGGTCGCCAGCTAATGTTGTCTTTTTTAACAACCATGTGTAGAGGAGAGGCCCAAGGACTATGAGAAGGACGTAGGATACCTTATGAAAGGTAACGTGTCGAACTCACTCTTAGCAAAAGCTAATTTGTCCGGTGCCAGTCGGCGAGGTCTTGCCGTGACTGGTGGACCCTTAGTGACTATGTCGTGTCGAACTCACTAAGCTAATTTGTCCGGTGCCAGTCGGCGAGGTCGTGCTGTGACTGGTGGACCCTTAGTGATTATGTAGTGTGCACAACGATCAGTCACTAGTGTTAGATCCTCAATAGGTTTAGTCAACTCGGGGAATCGGGCGATCAATGTCTGGAAACCCACTGGGACATCAGGCATTAAACCCGTGATTCGGTAAACGTCTGTTCGGGCATTGAGACCCGTGACTTTGATATTCGACGCTGCAGTCTACGTGAATCGACAAGCAATTCATAGTACCGCAAAAAATCGATACCCAATATTCCAATGGGATTATTCGCAAGAATGAACGTCCGTGGATACCGTCGTTGCCCTCCCAGGTTGACCGTGAGTTGTCTTGTTCCAAAGGTAGGAATGGGAGTGCCATTCGCAGCGCATAGCCGAAGCGTCGTAGCTCGTGGCTTGCTGCTACCGATAGGAAAGACTGATACTTGGGCTCCCGTATCTACGAGGAACCTAGCGTTCGTATGATGGTCACGTACGAAAAACAGACGGCCAACCTGAGGAGGCGGGCCGGCGAGTACGGCCGCTTTTACTCGCCGGCTTACCCTTTTCCCGTCGCGTAGGTGCAGGGCTTCCTGCAACTGCGAGCTCCTGGTCCATAGCTACGATGGAACCAGCAGTAACCCTCGGTTGGGTCATCCGGGGCTTTGGGTGGTTTGCGCGAGGGTGGCTTCTGAGCCTTTGGTTGCTTTTGGCAAACGTGGACAGGCTGTGCTGCCCGTTCCAACCTAGGCTTAGCCCTATAGGGGTTCGCTGTGGGCACCGGGACTCTGTCCTTGAAAGACAAACGCTGGTGTATGCAATGTGGTCGTGGCTGTGAAGGCCGTACCGCATATTTACCCCTGTTCCCCCTATACGGTTGCGATGTCGTGGCAACGAGGAAATTATCCTCGTTACCGACACGTGCAACTATCTTATCTGCAATCGACGCAGCCTTGTCGATTGAGGAGTCTTCCAGCAGAGTCGCTATCGTCGGTTGGACGTGACGTGACAACGACTCGAGCCACAGCTCTCTGACAATGTCAGAGTGGGCGTTTGCTGGGCCGGCTAGCGAGCGTAGACGCGCCAGATGCCTGCTTGGCGTCGTGTCACCGATCGGGTGACGAGCCAGCAACTGGCGCAACCTCTCCTCGTTAGACGGGGTATAGAACTGAAGGATTGCAGCCTTCAGAACATCGTACGCATCCTTTCCGAAGGTTCAAGAATAATATCCGTGATAGCGGACATTCGGTCGCCAGGATCGCCTCTACTGCATAAACGTATTTGGAGCGCTGGCTCCGCACGTTACGGGCGATAAACTGCGTTTCTAACGCCGCAAACCACACTTCAGGGTCATGAGGGATGAAAGCTACTGGCATAAAACTAATAGCCAGCAGGTCCAGATCCCTATCGTCTACCGGTGGACGTTCCTCGGACATTGTACAAATGCGATAAAGAAATATATCGTGGAAATGCTAATGAACCGTGAGGAAAAAGGGCAAATTCAAAGGGAATTGACTTACAGAGTAGACGGTGCGGGCTCACCAATGAAGCCAACCAGAGTTGACGGCCTTCCGGTATGTCTTCTTACGAGTCATAGTAAGCGCGCGATCTCCTAGTGTCTCGTTACCCGAAGTAGACAAAAACACTCGTGGGAGTCGTAGACGAATCGTGGTACCAGATAGTACCGAAACGTGCCAAGGTGACGCTAAACAATGCAAGCAATAAATGCAGTAGCAGAGCGAAAGCGTGTCACACGTGTAGCGTGGGTTTGAACAGTACCCAGCTTATATATACGCCTGAGCGGAAAACCGTGCTCGGTAAAACAAACAGAAGTAAAACAAAGAAAATATCACAGTTCGAGTCAGAGTTGATTGTGAAGAAAATATGAACGGAAAACGTCCTCGTGGATTGCTCCTTTTCTTCGTACAATCATGGTCACTGCACATTAACCTATTCTCTCTGGCAGGAAGGAGAGCAAGGGGGGCGTAATAGAAGTCTTTAAGATCATCAACGGGCTCTCCGGACTTAAGTTCG